GGGCCGGCCGGCCCGTTAAGCTCGGCCGAGCCGCTCTTTCTCTCGGGCCGCACCCTAGCCGCCCGAGAAAAGTCTATAATCCCTCCCTCTTTTCTTTTCTTTATCTTTTCCAAAAAGGATTTAATTAAATCCTTTTCCTTTAGACCAAAAATCCAATAATCTTAGAAATTCAATATCTTCCCCACCGTAAATCCGTTTGACTCCGTTCAACTTCCAAAATTCCCCAAATCTCGAGATCTACCTAATGGCACGCTTAGAGGTCATTAATAAGGCTTTATTTTCGCCGTTTGTTGAGTTGTCCCGTTTCGCGTGTAGTTTCGGAGCCCGAAGACCCGCAGTGCGAGGATTTCGAGGATCAAGCTCCAGATCTCGAGCAAGGCAAGCCACCTTTGAACATCTTGAGCCTATATTTGAAATTTAATTATATTGCTTGCAAAATATTATGCATTGATAGGATCTCACTTAATCTGTTGTCCCGTCTGCAAGGCAGATTGGCGGACCTGCCTAATTTGTTGCATTTGATCCTTCCTTTGTTAATTGTTATACCATGTCCCCTTGTAACCGCCCAGTTGCGCCTCGATATTCGTGCACTCTGTGCGAGTATCGACGGTCGCCTTCAAACTTAAAATCTGAGAAACAACTTGGGTAAAACTTGGGTTTTACAAAAGGCTTGGAAAACTCGACACCTGGGTCGGTGCTTGCGAACTAAATGAATTTCCAAAACCGCGGACCGGGGAATGTACCGGGTGTACGGTTTCCCGCTCTTGCACCTAAGGACTGTTTCCTTGGAATTTCATCCGAACATAAGACAAGTACGACCACATGGGTGGAATGGGACACCCCTGGCTGAGTAACTAGCTTATCAGGAGAGCCTTGATGCCGAGAGACATGTGGATTCACCGGGGTGGTGTCGGGGAGGACCCCTGGGCTTCCTGGCACAGTATGATCTGGGACCTAACCTGTTGTTGGTCTGGGACCCCTCTCGTCGGCATATGGTAAACCTGTGTCGGCTTTGGAAATGCCTTGTCATGAAAGCTTGGAGGTCTCCCGACGTGGCTGATCCCCACGGGCTGGGTGATCCGGGTTAGTAATGTCGTGTGGGTAAAGTGTACCCCCTCTGCAGAGGTTAACAAACTGTTCGAACAGCCGTGCCCACGGTCATGGGCGGATGTGAGGTGATTCCTAGCGTAGTTTTGTTTGACAACTACTTGTGAAATTACTGTTGTGAAAAGGGGTTTGATGTTTGAAAATCAGCAGCTGACGGGATCAGCTAGGCCCGGGTGGCCGTTTGAAAAGTTGTTGGCCCGGGTGGCCGTTTGAAAAGCTATTGGCCGGGTGCCAACCTTGTTTTAAGATCTAAAGATTGATACATTGTACATACTCCGACCGGACGAGACGCACTGTCTCATCCGTGTCGTTTGAGAAGCACTCACTTAGTTGTTTTTAGAAAAGAGCTCAAATAAAATAAATTGCAAAAACAACAGCCTTTTCTTGAAGCCTGCATTAAACACTTATTTCCCATGGCTTGCTGAGTACTCCCGTACTCACCCTTGCTCTATATAAATAACCCCCCTAGTTGCTGAAGAAGATGAAGCGGATCCTGCTGATGAGGAGTTCTTCCAGGAGCAAGCCGGTTACGATGAGTTTTAGGGTTTCGGCCTAGTTCCCAAGTCGCGCCTGTGTTGTTTGGTCCAAGTCCTGGCTTCCGTTTCCCTTTTGTAATGCAGTTGTGAGCTCGGGATCTGTCCGCAGCCCAACATGACTGTACCTCTACTCTATAATAAAGAGACTTCTGTTGCTGTGATAATCCGTCTTCCTGTGATACCAGCACTGTTTCCTGGGACTGGTATCGATTAACAGGTTAATTTGGAGCGTCACGGGCTAGTTCCGGTCGGTACTAGTTCGGGGCGTGACACTCTCCCAGTTAGAAAGATAATAGATCAACATACTCTCTCCGTTCCAAAATAAATGCAGTTTTAACACTGTTCATGCTCAACGTTTGACCGTTCGTCTTATTTGAAAAACAATTATGATTAGTATTTTTATTGTTATTAGATGATAATACATGAATAGTATTTTATGTGTGACTAATATTTTTTATTTTTTCATAAAATTTTCAAATAAGACGGATGGTGAAAACGCTGGACACGGATATCTATGGCTGCACTTATTTTGAAACGGAGGGAGTACCTGCCAAGAGCCTTGCACGTCAATGTATTAATAGGAGAGAAAATTGTGTACACAACTATAACCTACCGTAGTGGTTATGGGGTGTTTACACGGGGAGAAAAGGAGATCAATGGCTAGCTAAGCTAGGCAGAACCAGGCTCCGAACAAGAAAAAAGGCAAGAAAAATAAGTAACAAATACTAATAAAAAGTAAAAAAATATTTCTACTTTAATATTTCTACTTTATTAAATTTTAATGCAATTATTCTTGAATTGGCCTGCGTCAAGCAGGTAGCCCAGTCTCAAATGGGCCTAATCCGTCTGCCAATTAGGACCAAATAGCCCATTAACATTGTCCTTGCTCTGTTGCTCACATGGATCACAAAAGGCAGTAACACGTTAGGATGGGGTGGAAGCAGTAGCCTGTTATTCCGAAGCAACCAAGATGATCATTGGCATTGCAATTTTGCATGTGGTGCTGCAATATCTACACACAGCAGCAGCAGCAGCAGAAGTGCAAACAAAGGTTGCCCTTAACTAAACTATCCCTTGATCTGAGAGCAGCCGACGCCCAAGCAAGGGGGCTTCCCCTTCTCCCATGCCACGGGCACATGCCCTATCGGCGAAGGCGGCTTCCACGGCGACCTCCTCACCATGATCGCCGGCTCACGACTAGCCACCATCCCTCCTATCGACCTCTCGGCCACCAAATATCTCGCCACGACACCCCTGCGGTGGCCACCATCCGCTTTCACCGTCGCCGTTGCTACTTCGGCAGCGCTCCAGTTCGTCTGATCCACCTCATTATCCGCTGCATGTAAAATGATGTTTACATCTCAAATCATACTCCTCGTCCCAAATATAAAGGATTTGGGGTGACACATCCACCTAAAGTCTCGTATATTCTGAGATGAAAGGAGTACTAGTAAAATAGTCAAGTTGATGGAAATTAAGGGGAGAATGTTTACCGATGGGACGTGAGGAACGGACTAAGACGACCGTGTACGAGCTCAGAAGAAATAACGCCACGAGAAGCGAAGACGCCATTGCAGACAGGAGCACACGAGAGCTTCAGCTCCTTTTGCTGTTCGATGAGATGTAACTATTTCGTTTAACTCCTTGTCAAGCTAAGGTTACTATGCATATATATGCACCCGAGTCAACGGCTCCAAGATAGTATATGCACTCAAAATAGCTGTACACAGCAGTACACTACATTGTACGCTGTGCAAATTTTCCTCTTTTGTTGGGTATCGAGACGTGCAGTTGTCCGTGAATCTTCTTGGAAATTTGGCTCAAGGTATCTTTGGGCTAAAGCCGTCGACTTGCTGGTGAGTTTCATGCGTAATGCTGTTCTTCCCTCCAATCAGGGTCACAATTAACAGATTTGTTAAGCTAAATATAGATAGGAAGACGGGGCGCGGAGGGGCGGCCGGCGGCGGTGGAGACCAGCGCTCGCGGAGGCGCGGCCGGCAGTGGGGGAGGCCACGTTCCTGGAGGTGTGGCTGGCGATGGCAGAGGCCGGTCCACGCACGAGGGGCAGCCGGCGACGGCGGAGAGCGATGCATCGTGACGAGGAGCAGCGGAGGACAGCATCGGTGAGGTTGCTGCGGTTGGAGGATGGAGACGACGGCGATGCGACCAAGCGGCCCGTTCGTACACAGGTAGCTTGGTCGAGGCGGCAACGACGGTAACGCCATGAGGGGGCGTTGAAGCCTGCGGTGAGCTTCCTTCCAGGCATCTGTCCTCTTGCGGCGGCGGCTTGTGCACCGTAAGATGGCCACGCTGGACGGGCTAGTGCGGGGGAGAGGGGATCCATCCTTCTCTCTCACCTTCTCCCTCTCCAACTCAACCACGTGGATGGAGTGGAAGCACAACGGAGGTCGAGACTCTTTTTTGATGGCCAGCCGGCGGCAAGGCGTTGGCACGGTGGCTGCACGTTGAAGGGGATTTGCTAGTAGTTCCACTGAAGCTGACATGCATTCTTTGGCGGCGGAGAGCAGAACAACGGGCGAAGGCCTAGCCTTCGGGCCGGTAGCGGCAACGCCTGTGGGCGCCGCTTTTCTCTTGGGATGTTGATGTGTTTTTCCTCTCCCAATGGGTTCTTCGGGTGAAAACCACGTCCTCTTAAGACAAGCGGCGGCGGCGCTACTGGCGTCGTTTCCTTCTTGGAGGCGTCGTTTCAGAAGACCCATTCCTCGGGGGTGTTGCGTGCTTGTTATGTTTTAGCAGTAGGATCAGACGTAGACATGTGGTGCGGTTTTATTTTTTCTTTTTCCTGTCTATAGTCTCCCAGGATTATAGATTTGTATTTTATTCCTGCTCTATCAATAGAAACATCGCACTATCTTGTGCGAATTGTTTGAAAAATAAATATAGATAGGAATTAGAATAATTAATCTACAGTATAAGTTTTGATCTAGTGCGTACTCAGTTTCAAATTGATATCTTTACAAGATAATGAGAGCACTTTTTAATCTGTTTTTTTCCCCAGATAACATATCGCCTTTGATAAGCTCCAAATAAGATCACTTCTAGATAGCTTATTAAGAATTGACTTAATAAGATCCCCTTCAAGATCACTTCTACTCCACTATCTGAATTACAAAGTGTGAAACTAATTCTTTGATTGCTAATTATTTGAATTGAGTTACTTAGTGTGAAACTAATTCTTCAACAATGATTCAATTGCTATTCGAATTGCAAAGTGTAAAACCACTTCAACAAATATTAGAATTGCAAAGAGAGAAATAATCACTTCAACATATATTTGAATTTGAAAAGCTTGGCAAATAATTACTACTTCAACAAATATTTGAGTTAAAAAGTTTGGCAGGGGCCGCACGAACGCGTACCCCTTCTACCACAAATTACGACGTCCACTCTCCCACTTGGGGAGATGGCAGACCAACGCGCCTACCAAGTGCAATGTAGGCCATTGATCCAGGCCATGGATCTTCTTGATCACCCATCGACCCCGTCCAGGTAAGTGCCTTGTAAGGTAGCCCTCACCCTGCTTATATACCCAGCGACCCACCCTAATCCGCTCAAACTTTCGATGTGGTACTAATCAAAAGCTGTTTTGCGTCTCAAAACCAGCGGCTGATTAGTCCGATTCAGAAAGAGGAAAGCCCAGTGTCTCTGATGGGCCCATATTCGTTTGCCAAGTAGGACCATTACCCCATTAACACTTGTCCTATATATCCTATGTTTCAAAAAAAAAATCTTATTGCATTATTGACTTCTTTTTGGTGATTAGCTAGCCCTTTTGGTGCCTTTTGGTGGCAAAAGGTTTCCATCAGTTCAGAGATGATAAGAGCATATTTATGTGGCTTTGGAGACGATAGGTCCAGAGATTCTCCCACATTTGTGCACCACATTAGTAAAGTCATCTTCTGATCTATTAATGCATTTCTACTAGCCTTTACGCGTTGTGGTTTGTGTGTAGCTTTCAGCAAGTAATGGTGTAGAAGAGGAAAACCTTACCAAATTTAGTAAAGTTGTTAAAAAAGTGGGTATATAAGAAATCCTACCAAAATATTGCTAAAATTTGGTTAGGTTGAAAATGGCATCAAAGTGAACAGGCCTCTTGTTTAACTGTTTTTCATCTACTTCATTTAATTATTACGGAGCTCTGCTTTTTTAAAATTATGTTTTATTAAAAAAAATCTTATACTGCATTGCTCACACGACTTGTTTTAAGTTACTATTTATTAATAACTCCGTCTCAAAATATAATAACTTTTGGTTAGATGGAACATATCTCATCCAAAAATTGTTATATTTTGGGACGGATGGAATAAGTTATTTATGAAGTTCATTTATAAAAATATTTTATTCTTCTAATCAAGTAGTATAGTTTGTTTCAATTTTCAAACGAGGCTAGGCCTTCATTGTGAAGGTGAGAAAGGAATGCTCGCTTGGCAGCGACGTGCTCGCTGAATTGATGCGCCATAAAATCTGGAGGTGTCGCTATATCAGAATGTGCCATGAGAAGAAGGAGCGAGATAAAGTTGCAAGTAAACATTGGGCCATTGGGGAGCCACCGTGTGACACCGTCCACTTCTTCATGTACAGTATCTATGTGGTCATAACACACATTGTTATGTTGAAGCTTTCGGTATCAGATCTAGGAGGATTGGGACATGGATATTGTTTTTGGTTATGGAAGAATTATGCCTTGTTCCTATACCAAGAAGATGATAATAAAGTGTTGGTCCGGCATGATCAGTCGCAAGCTTGGTGGAATCCTTGGGCCATATTTGAACATGGTAAATCAATATTATAAAACATAAACTTTGTAAATAGCTACAACAAGTTGTTTAGATGATCCTCTCAAAATAAGTTGTTTAGACAATACAATAGAAGAAAATCTTTATAGTAATCATATTTTTATAAGCCTGGAAGTAAATGATCAGTGGAAAAAAATCAAAAGAGAGCTGAAAATAACAGACATAATTAGCTCAAGTGGAATTTTATACATCTTGATGAACCAAGAAGATGATAAGAGTTGGTCCGGCATGATCAGTGGCGAGCTTGATGGAATCCTTAATTCAAATAGAATTTTTTACAGCCTGATGACGCCAAGCAAAGCCCAAGATGATGATTATGTGAGGTCAGCAGGCCAGTTTAATATAGGTGGACGGGATATTTGTCCAAAGAACGGAGTCAATTTGTGGTCACTTACCAGTTGATGACTTCTTCATGTCAGTACTCTCAGTAGAACTGGTCACACATATCTGACATCTATCAACAGAAATAATATCTAACATCTATCAGTGTTTAGTTCACACCAAAATTAGAAGATTGATTAAAATTGAAATGATGTGACGGAATAGTTGGAAGCTTGTGTGTAGGAAAGTTTTGATGTAATGAAAAAGTTTAAAGTTTGAAGAATAATTTGGAACTACACCCGGCGTGATACGAAAAATCAATACTTCAACATCTCACTATTTATATATCTTCTCTGCAAACCAATAATCCAGGTGCTTAATCTGGATTACCAATTTTTTTTCTCTTTGATCAGATGATCATGTGAGATACACACAGATCGCCACCAAAGTTATTAACAAGGCTCACTGATTGATTTGCTCGCAGAAACACTAAACTGAAATGGTAATAGAACATAACATGAACAAAAAAAAAAGTAAATAAAATAAAATAAAATAAAGCACCTTTGCTGCACATTTTTTTCATGCCAAGTTTCCACTGTACAGAGCACGGCAATGGCATGGCTAGGACGAGCACGCCGGCGGCGGCGGCGGCGGCGGCGTGTCGACGGCGGCGCGGCAGAATGGGCAGGAGCGAGGGGCGGCGCCGGCCTCGAGCCAGGGGAGCGCGCAGGCCCAGTGGAAGCGGTGGCCGCAGGGGAGATGGGCCAGGACGTCGCCGGCGGCGAACTCGTCCAGGCACACGGCGCACTCCGCCTGCTCCGCCGCGTCCCACCGCAGCCGGCTCCACCGCATCAGCCGCCGCATCACCCCTTTCCTCGAGTACACCTCCCTCTGCACCCCCATCGCCGCCGTCGCCGTCGATCTCCCGCCCCCTCCGCCGCCGCCGGTGGCGCCTCTGTTCAGCTTGATGCTTCCCGTGCTGTGATGCCTGCAGAAACGAAACGAAACGACGAACACAATTCAGCGAAATTTTGAAATCCATCTTTCGTCTATTCAGAAATTGATTCGATCTTTGCATCATCATCATCAGTTAACCTCTTGATGACGGATTCCCTCTGGCTCCTCAGCTTCTGGTCCAGCCGCTCCTTCGCCTCCCGGGCATTGCTGTCCAGCGACCACCCATGGATGAGCTCCATCACACTACTCCTCTGCTGCAAATCCCAATCCCCCAACCAATTCATCTCATCGATCAACCAATCAAATCGAACAAATCAATCATTCGATCAATCCGTCGTGCATACCTTGCCGGAATGATTCGCGGCGGCGCCGCCACATGTCTGACCACCACCATGCCCGGCCGCGTGCACGCAGAACGACGACCGCCTCGTACCTCCGCCAGCCGCCGCCGCATCCGCCCCAGCTCCCCCTCCCTGCCGGAGCCGCCGCCGCCGCGCGCACTCCACCCCGGGCAGCATCGCCGCCATGATCACCATCGCAATCGCAGCTGCTCACCCCCACCACAAACCTCGCCGCACCAACCACAGCAACAGCAACAACAAGAACAACCAAAACAAGAAGAAGAAGGTGGAGGAGGTGGTTTTTCCTAACTGCGAGTGCGCTTGCGGGCAAGAAATCTAGCGAGGGCGGGGAAAGCAGCATGGTCGGCGGCCATTTGTGGGAGAAGGTGGAGGAGGAGAAGCAGCGGGTGGTACGAGTAGCGCTCCTCCATCTTCTTCGATTGGATTGCGCCTCTCTTCTTCTTCTTGTTGTTCTTCTTCTCGCGTGGTGGATTTATTTGCGGCTTCTCGCGATGCTTTTTAACTGTCGCGGAGTGGAGTGGAGTGGTGAGGCGAGGCGCGAGCTCAGGTGCTCAACCACCTCGTGAGATTGTGAAGGGGGATACTGGTGGGGCCCACGGGGGGATGGGAACGAAATCCACTGGGCAGAATGGAATTATTGGGGCTCATTCGTCTACCCTGTCTGACGGGACCACTGATCTACCGAGGATTCACAATTCCGACGAAAACCGATAAAATTCTGTGAAATTTTAACGTTTTGATATGGCTCGAAATTAGGTTTTGATTGGAATTTCGGAGGTTATACAGTAGATTTGATCAAAATTCAGTAGAAATTTATCGAAAACCGATCGAAATTTATCGCAAACCGTAATGTCGATAGGGCTCGAAATTTAGTGGTCAATCGGTAATGTAAACCCGCTCCTACAACTGTACTGTAGTAGTAGCAGATCAGATTCCCTCCATTCTTAAAAAAAATCAATTTCTAAAGTTTGAATTTTGTCGCTAAAAAACCAATTTCTACCATACTATCTACCATTAGCACATAAAACGGGAAATTTTATTTCTTTAATACACTTTAACTACCTATCACTATTACTGCATTTTTCAATAATACGGGACATTTTGGTAATTTGCACAATCCACTAATTTTATCTAGGGATGTTAGGATAGGATTTTATATGGGACATAGGGAGTACTATACTACTATAAGCGCCCATTTATTCAATAATATGATTGAGAAAACGTAGGAATAGGAAAAACACAGGATTTTGATATGAATGTAAGTGTAAATTAGAGGATTGCAAAACATAGAAAAACACAGAAATGACCGTTCGATTGAACCGCATGAATTAGAAGAGATTTAAAAACTCAGAGGAAAGTAACCTCATGTTAGTTTTCCTCCAAAACTTGCTTAGCAGTAGACATATCATAGGAATTCCATAGAATTCATATCTTTGAGTCAAATGGCTATATAGGAAAAATTCTTATATGAGTGAAATCCTCTAAAATCCCTATGATTTTTCTTTGAATCAAATGGGCCTAGGCCTGTCTATAGCCTTGTTAGTGTGGAATATCATTTTTCTTAAGTAATGAAAATTATCATGGATTTTTCTTCAAGAAAATAGCCACTTGGTTATAAAGGTTGTATATCAAACCACTCTTAGTTTTTAATCACAACTTAATAAATTAAAAACAATAAATGATAGTTGTCGTTTTTATGCAATGGACTGTAAGATACATATTGACCTATCCTTGCGCCGATCAAATCTCACACACAATATCGTCGATGATCAATGTTAAACCATCGAGAAAAGAAAAAAAAAGTTATAGAACCGCTTGCCCAGATCTTGCCATCATTGCTGGATGCGTGCCAACCCACGATGTCGTTCCTATTATTCTCGGCTATAGCTTTTAGTCCCGCCTTCTATTTTCACAAATGTGACATGAAACTTGTGGATCCTTGCCAAAGCAATACCCATTGACGGCTTTCCTCCTCAACATGACGATCTACTTCGCCTCGGTGTGTGTAGGTCAAGGGAAGGAACCACCTAGAGGTGGCAGCAGTGAGTACACTGTGGTGGCTATCCTTCCACATGAGGAGAAAGCCATATTGACTCGTGCCGTTGTTTGTGTTCTCTCATCGCTCCTGTCGATGTCTTTCTATGACTTCATAGCGTGGCTGAGTTTGTCAAACCGTCAATATACAATTTTAGATAAAATTTTATGATAAATTTAAGGAAAATACTACCTCGAGAAAACAGAAAGCCTCCTATCAAATGCCTCTAGGGAAATACAAAGATATTTTTGGGACAGGGCGAGGAGAACTCGAGAATTTGGTATTTGTGATGAAATGGTACGGGCACAGTGTGCCCACAGCGAATGCTGGCCCAGCAAGCGTAGTTTGCGATGGTGCAGAGGGCGTGTAGCAGCAGCTGCAAACCGGCAACGAACTCTTGTCTGCGTGTAGGACACATGGTGCAGTAACGCCACGTCGGTTTCTTGGCTACTGGCGACCTTCGAGGAAGCTTCCGGGTAGCAGCGGCCGGACATGCCACGCTGCCATTAATTCATGCCTCTCATCGTCTCCATCTCATCATCAGCCATCATCATTCAGGAGAGCTGCGCCGCTGTGCCCCACCTCTGCTAATCCGGCCCATGCATCTCACTGTTGCTGCCGCCGCTGCTGTCCAAACTCCATACCAAACCCCGCATCGTTTTGTGCTCTTTTTATTAAAAAAAAGTTATTAAAAAAACTATATTAGTCTAAAAATATAGCAATATGATAGTAGTTGTGACATACTTCCTCCATACTTATAAATGTACTCGTTTAAAACATCGACACGGTCTTTAAAACATAACTTTGACTTCTTGTTTCTATAAAAATATTCATTGAAAAGTGATATATGTATATTTTTATGAAAGTATTTTTCAAATTTATTCATATAATTTTTATATTTTTAAACTCAACAAGAGTTATTCATGATTTATATTTCCAAGGATTAACTTAAACATTATTCTAAATAACTTTCTTTATAATTTTTTTCAGAAACTTACCACAACCTGAGTAGAGTTCTACTCCGACTCCTATAGCACACACGCAACGCGTGTGATTCGCTGCGCCGAGCAGAGGGCTACACGCATAGCCAAGCGGCCAACACTTCGGTTTCCTCCTGCAAACTGCAATCGTTTACGTTTTACTCCGATTCGCGCGTGTTGCTTTCGCCGCCTGAGCTGGAGATCGTGATCTCCTGTTTTTTTCTATATATATAATTCAGAAGAGATTAAAAGGATATGATTTGCCAATAATGGCATTGTTAATGATCATGTATTTTAATGTCTGACAAAATCCTACGGATATGCTGCATGGGAACTGGAAGTAGATCTCTGAGCCTGTGATTCTATTAGAAATCGTTTCAAGATCTATACACGAGAGTTCTCAAAAAAAAAAGTTCTATACATGAGTGAGCTATTAGTATCCGAGGCATGTCAGACACATGCAATGCTGATAGATAGCTGAAGTTGTGAAGTACTCCCTGTGACTTCCCGGTTTAGGGCTTAATAGGATTAATGGAATACTTATATAAACAAGTTGTGACCGATCGGAAACTTCCCGAGTGCGTATGAGTGAGCATAAAGTGTGCAGAAAAGACTTGTGTTGGTCTGTAAGGGCAGTCTATGACATATAAAAGCTGCCAGATGTAAGTGCACCCGGCCTGGGAGAGGCAGGACGTTACACTCTCTCCGTCCTAAAAAAACTCAACCTAGGAGGGATCTGAACAAGGAATCTAGACAAGGAACGAATTTGGATAAACTCTTATCCAAATTCACTTCCCGAGTGCGCATGAGTGAGGACAAAGTGTGCAGAAAAAACTTGTGTTGGTCTGTGAGGGCAGTCTATGACATATAAAAGCTGCCAGATGTAAGTGCACCTGGCATGGGAGAGGCAGGACGTTACACTCCCTCCGTCCTAAAAAAACTCAACCTAGGAGGGATCTGAACAAGGAATCTAGACAAGGAACGAATTTGGATAAACTCTTATCCAAATTCACTTCCCGAGTGCACATGAGTGAGGACAAAGTGTGCAGAAAAGACTTGTGTTGATCTGTGAGGGCAGTCTATGACATATAAAAGCTGCCAGATGTAAGTGCACCTGGCATGGGAGAGGCAGGACGTTACACTCCCTCCGTCCTAAAAAAACTCAACCTAGGAGGGATCTGAATAAGGAATCTAGACAAGGAACGAATTTGGATAAACTCTTATCCAAATTCACTTCCCGAGTGCACATGAGTGAGGACAAAGTGTGCAGAAAAGACTTGTGTTGATCTGTGAGGGCAGTCTATGACATATAAAAGCTGCCAGATATAAGTGCACCCGGCCTGGGAGAGGCAGGACGTTACACTCCCTCCGTCCTAAAAAAACTCAACCTAGGAGGGATCTGAACAAGGAATCTAGACAAGGAACGAATTTGGATAAACTCTTATCCAAATTCACTTCCCGAGTGCGCATGAGTAAGGACAAAGTGTGCAGAAAAGTCTTGTGTTGGTCTGTGAGGGCAGTCTATGACATATAAAAGCTGCCAGATGTAAGTGGGCCCGGCCTGGGAGAGGTGGGACGTTACACTCTCTCCGTCCCAAAAAAAACTCAACCTAGGAGGGATCTGAACAAGGAATCTAGACAAGGAACGAATTTGGATATAAACTCTTATCCAGATTTATTGTATTAGGCATGACTAAATAAGGAACGAATTTGGATAAACTCTTATCTAGATTCATTGTATTAGGCATGACTAGACAAGGAACGAATTTGGATAAACTCTTATCCAGATTCATTTTATTAGGTATGAGTGAGGACAAAGTGTGCAGAAAAGAATTGTGTTGGTATGTGAGGGCAGTCTATGACATATAAAAGCTGTCAGATGTAAGTGGGCCTGGCCTGAGAGAGGTGGGACGTTACACTCTCTATGTCCCAAAAAAACTTAACCTAGGAGAGATCTGAACAAGAAATCTAGATAAGGAACGAATTTGGATAAACTTTTATACAGATTCATTGTATTAGGAGGGGGAGAGAGTATATGCAAGTGCCAGGGCTGAACTGAGGATCGATGGAGGCATCAACCTGAAGTGCTGAACTTCTTCAGAAACTGTCAATAATTGCACAAGGACAACCGTCTTCGATGCTGATGGTTGCTGGCGCATTTGAGTCGCATGATGGCATGAGAACACACTGTACTTTGCGCCGTGTTTAGTTCCAAAGGATTTTTTTCAAACTTTCAATATTTTTTATTTCATCAAAATTTTCCTACAAACATAAACTTTCAACTTTTCTATTGCATCGTTTCAATTTCAACCAAATTTCTAATTTTAGTGTGAACTAAACACAACCTTGGTATAAATGATTTCTGAAAGTTCCTTACGAGAAACTCATGGTGCAGATAATTAACCCTGGACTACAGCAGCAACCAAATTCACGGCAATTCATTTCTGTCCCCTGTTCAGAATCCAGACCTGCCGTTTCACAAGTTGATCTGAAGAAAAGTGTCATGTTGCTTTCGACGATGTCATTTGTCCCAACAACCCATTTCGCTGAAAGTTTCAGTGAGGTGGGTAAAGCCAGTATTGATT